TTGTCCGGAGGACCTGAGAATATATGGGGGGGTAAAGGAGCTAATGTGATGGGTTCCGCGAAAGAGATGGACCCGAGCTCAACCTTGGAAAGGTTCGAGCTGCGAGAATGGAATGATGCAAAAGAGGCGGTGACGCGCTTGGCCGTTGTCTAAGGTCGACGTGCCCGATGTGGTAGTTAAGTCTGCTCAAGTAATTGCCACCGATGCTGCTGCTGCTTCTGCTGAGATGAGGTCAAGTCGATACGGGATACACAGTCATCTTATATCCTCCCATTCGCGACTCAACAGACGTGATGCCTCGCGCCAAGTGATGGTGTTGGTGCCCCCTTCACGAGGAGCAAGGTAGTTAGTTGTCAGAGCAAAGGCGATCTCTCACTGGCTCGCTGAAATTCAATCCAGAAGTGGCGGGAGCAGGGTGTGTGTGAGATGTTGACCTCATGGACCACACTCGTGGCTTGAGTTGATCAAACGCAAGAAAAGGATCCAAGAATCGCCCAAAGCAGGCAAGTCGAAAGGAACCCACCCCAGGCCGTCTCACAGTCGTCCGGGCCAGAGGACACGCTCCGCTCCACCTTCTCCACGACCCATCAGCTAGCTGCGGGGAAGCCTGCGGCGAAGAATGGATAGTCTGGGGTTGGGTCGATGTCGCGGTGTGGGAGGACGTATGCACGGAGTAGGTAGTGCAGTGTACAGGTTACGCGCGTGGGTGTGTTGGTGTGTAATGGTTACACTTGAGATGAGATGTCACAAAGGCGGATGAGATGTCTCTTACATCCGAGTGACATACGAGAGGGGGCAAATATCAAGCACTGGAGAAAGGGGGGCGGAGGAAAAAGAACAATCCGGCATCCCATAACAACTTAATTAGGTAGCACAAGCACTCGCTTACTCAGGCAAGGAGAGCCCCAGAAAGAATTATCAAAATGAAAAAAACTCAAAAAAAAAGGCACAGAAAGCAGTCAGAGCAACATCCAACGATGCCTGGCCGTGTGCCGGAGTCCCCGTGGGTATCCCTGCGCCATGTGGCGTACAAATGCACATCGTACAAACAGACCGGGACAAGCATGCAGGGAAAGGGGCTTTACGAAAAGGACGGCACCCTCCTGGGCCGAGCTATGCGGGATTGCCCAGGCCCCCGGATCCATGGTAGTCGAATCACAGCGCAGAGAATTTTCGGCGATTCCACCCCACCGCCGATTGCAGCGAAGATTTCTGCGAGAGTTCTCAGCCAGGGTTGGGCCAATGGGGGTGTTTCTTTGCCCTCCTTCTTTGCCGCCCCTCCCCAGACCTTTGCGGAGCGAGCTAGTTTAGGTTAGTTTAGCTACAGAGAGACATGAGGAACCGACTGTAGCTCGTGGTTGTGGGTGTTCCGGGGTTGGCGTCCGTCACTCTCGTTGGTCCGTCCATTCTTCGCCATCTCTGTTTTCTCCCTGTTGCACCCCCACTGCAGTTGGGAGGGAGCTGGAATGACATACCAGACCGGACGGCCGCTTCCTTTTGCCAACTTCCCGAACCAGCCTTAGCGGTCCGCCTGAAAACTACGTGATCCAACCTGACGGGCTCCTTGGTCTGGAGGGAGACTGCGGAGGTATGTCGAACGGCGCGGAACTCGATGCGGTGATCGATGACGCTAGAATTACAGCGATTGGTCCCCATCCTCGGACACCATTGGAAAGTTCGTTGGTTCACCAATGAGTTTTCCGGAGCGAGATGAGCTGATAGACGGCCAGAATCCTACGACATGGTCCAGGACCAAGTTTCAGATCGGTGAACCCCAGAGCACCAGGCTGGTCAAGCGCGGCCCGGATCATGATAGCCAGCGTAAAGTGTACAGCAACACCTGGGCCAAGATGGTGTTGCTACAACTTCGCAGAGCACCCTTATGGGGAGAGAGAGAGAGTCACAGGGCGTTCAAACTGAGTATAACTTTTCGAAGGTAGCCTCTGTCCGATAACAAGCTCGTGGGGGCCGTGGGGGGGTGCAACAAAAACCCGGTGCGACCCAAGAAGAAGGGGGAAAAGCCCCCCTTTCCTGTTACCATGCTTCGTCACTGCTTCACGTCGGCTTGGATCTTCCCCGCAATCTCTCTTCTGATCCTCCTACCCTAGATATGGGGCTTAGCTTCCCAGCCACTCTAGTGCGGAACCCAAAACCTACGTTTGCCCCTGTCTGCTGCCGTCTCCTTTGGGGCTGTTCGCGTGACCACAGAGAGATCTGGCCGGATACTAATTGTTTACCAAGAAGTATATTTCTGTGACGCGATAAGGGACCGTTCTGTTTCGTCCCGATAGCCGACATATCCACTGCTATCAGCCGCACAAATCAAGGTACTTGCGGGATGGGAGACGCAGCAAGGGACCACATACGTCACGGCCAGCGGAGTCGTGGGGCCAAGGTAGGGACGGACGGGGCCCACACTGCCGACATCCGGCCGCCGCCCTCCGGTGCTGTTCCGGAGCCGTCGCTCTGGATCCGTTTACAGCCCATTGCCGGATCCCAAGGGGAGGGAAGCAGCACACCACACGATGCAGGTTGCAGATATTACATGGATCTTTGTGCAGTACTCCCGGCTAAGTGTCGATAACAATAGAAACGGAGACCAAGAGAACGGCCTCAAAAGGAGAGTAACGTCATCGCCCCTAACTATGTTTTGTGAGACATGAATTCAGCGATCATGATCTTGCTCTGCACAGTGATCAATCCAACTTTTTGTGGGAATTTCTTCCTTTTGTGCCTTTTCTATTTCCCAGGTTATCTATTAACGCTGCTCAGTGTGCAGGAAATAGACAAAAACCAGCGTGCAATTGAGAAACCCTTCATATTTCGTCTCGGATGTGTGCAGGCAAATAAGCAGTCATGCCAGCTTCGCGTACTATTCTACGCAAAACGGAAAATTTGCGGACACAGCCTGTACCAATCCAAGCTGTTCGTATTCGTGTTCACCCTGACCGGGCCAAGGTTACGGTGATGGAGCCGCTGGATTGACGCTTTCCCTTATCGGTGCGAAAATTGGGTCTCGGCTTACTTGCTGGAAGAACCAACAATCCAGCACAGCACGCCTTGCCAGTAGCTGCTAGGAATGGAAACATGGGGGAAATCTACGGGACTAGACGTATTCGTGTTCGGATCTATCGATAAGCAGAGGGCTTATCACGTATTCGCTTTGACGTTCGGTGAACATAGGGACAGGAAGACGATGTGCCTGGCTGTAAGTCAGAGGAAGACGGCCTCAAAATTGCTATAAGAAGGGCGGTTCATGTAAGGGAATTGAGGGAAATCAGTCCAACAACTCCGAGTTTGACTCGCTTCTCTCTTGTGCTTTCCATCGCGAGCGATCAATTCAGTGCCACAAGTTCCTTCCAGGTCTCCATTGCATTCAAAGACTGTCAACTCTGTCCGCTACGATGGTCGGAACTACTCCCGCAGAGGGGCAAATGCTCTTGGCCCGAGACGCCACGTTCGAAAAGATCCTTCACAAGGACACAACGAAGACCGTTGGCATGTTGGCGATGCTTAAAAAGGACCACGGGGCACAGAAGGCAGCCACGGACGCATACTTCGTGCATTGGGACAACAAGAGCGCACAGAAGGAAACAAAGGAGGACCGAGAGGTAAGAGGAAACGTCTGTGGAATGCAGTGACGTTACTTTGTTTACTGATAATTTCACCGCTACAGGCTCGGACAGCAGACTATGCCTCCCTCACCAGACAGTAAGCATCCGGTATGCTGCATAAAACGGGGGTGTCCAAACTAAGCATGCGGAAAAAAACAGATACTACAACCTCGCGACCGACTTTTACGAATATGGCTTCGGCCAAAGTTTCCACTTCTGTCGTTCAGCAGCCGGCGAGTCTTTCAAGCAGGGCATCGCGAGACATGAACACTACCTTGCCCACGTGATCGATATCAAGAAGGACATGAAGGTGTTGGATGTCGGGTGCGGCGTTGGCGGACCGGCTCGTGAGATCGCCAAGTTCACGGGTGCCTATGTTACTGGTATCAATATCAACGAGTATCAGGTAGAGCGGGCGACACGATATGCCGTCAAGGAGAAGATGGACAAGCAAGTCCAGTTTGTGCAGGCCGATTTCATGGTACGTTCTGTTTATGCCGCATGATCCATGTCGACGGAACCCCTCGGTAACGGTAGACACGCACCAGAACATACCCTTTGAGGACAACACCTTCGACGCCGTCTACGCCATAGAGGCCACCGTCCACGCCCCCTCCCTCGAAGCCGTCTACTCGGAGATCTTCCGCGTCCTCAAGCCCGGCGGCGTCTTCGGCGTCTACAAATGGGTCATGACGGATAAGTACGACGACGCCGACCTCGATATGCGCAAGATCCGCATCGACATCGAGCAGGGGGACGGGATAGCCAACATGGTCAAGGCCACGGAGGCGCTGCGCGCGTTCGGCGCCGCCGGCTTCGACGAGGTCCGCCACGAGGACATGGCCGAGCGCCCGGACCCGAGCCCGTGGTACTGGCCCCTCGACGCCGGGAGCTGGAGACACGCGCAGACGATCGGCGACCTGCTGTACACGTTCCGCATGACGGGCCTCGGACGCATGGTTACGCGCGGGTTTCTTGGAACCATGGAGACGTTGAGGCTTGCGCCGCCGGGCATGACGAAGATGTCGGACAGCTTGTGTGTTGCTGCCGATGCGTTGGTTCTGGGCGGTAAAGAAAAGATCTTTACGCCAATGTACCTCATGGTTGGACGGAAGCCAGTAAAGAAGGAATAAGAACAGTCCTTGAAATGCTACACATTAATCCAATTTATTCAGCATACATGTATGGTATTTTCATATATATAGAAAGCAGGGGGCACTGTTGCCGTATCGTCTTAAGTCCAAGGGCAAAAGAAAGATACACCAACAGCAACAACCAACAACAAATCTCGAAACAATGCAAAAAGATGGACGATCAGGGAATCGAACCCTGGACCTACCGCATGCTAAGCGGTCATTATACCACTAAACCAATCGCCCATGTGAATGATCTAGCCCGGACTTGAACCGGAGACCTTCAGTGAACAGTGAGGACATCATTAGACGTTCTCGAACTGTTAGACTGACGTGATAACCAACTACACCACCAGACCATTTGAATTGTTGCAGAGCGGGCCTCAATATGTGCAATATGTATCACCAATTTAGTAAATGGTGGGGAGAACGAGTCGTGAAGCGAGGGGGCGGAGCCCTGGCGGCGGTCTGGACCGGTCAGTGGGCCGGTGCAATACCCAGTGACACGCACGGGTTTGACCGGTTGGGCTAAGTCAAGATAGGTAGGTAAGTAGCCACAACTCAAAATGTGTTTTGATACGGCGTCGAGGACTTTGATGGAACCGACTGACTGGACAAACATCTGTTATGTCTTCCAGCGTCCGGGACTTTCTCCCTAAAAATGTGCGAGACTCATCTGTTGGACTTGTAGCCGGAAGAGGAACTGACAAGGCAAAAGAAAGCGTGCTTACCAGTCCTAGACAGCCACAGTGCTCCACGGAGTCACAGCATTTGTTTATGGCTGCTCTGTTTGATTGTTGGTAGGGCCCCTTTTACCATGAACCCTCGATCATGGATCGGGAATCTCAGTCCTCTGGGATCGACACTGGGCCTGCGATTCAAGCTCAAATGGATGCTGGGGATATGTGACAACCCCATCAGCTCATCTGCAGTAGCCCAACCACCATTGACCATCCCAGACCCACGTCTGAAAACCTCTCTCACAAAGCATTGAGAACCGGGCTGCGCACGTGGACCGCCTTCGGTCGCTGGTGCTCCAAGTCTGCGCCAAGAGCCTACTAGCGAAGGGACGCGCTGCGTTCAGTGGTGGAAACTCGACAGTCCGGGTCGCAGCAGGCCACGGAGGACCATCACGGGCAGCGGAACATAGGTTACTTTGGGGTCGGGTGTGGTGGACGCGGCCAAAGGGCTGCAGCCTGCTGACGGAACACCGCTGAGCCCAGGGTTCCGAGCACGGCAAACTGGATGGCTGTCACTGGTGATGGTCTCTGCAGAGCAGGCAGGGTTCTCCGCATGAGGCCCATTGAAAATCGATCGTGACGCGGAAAATCACATGGCTGAAGGCCGTACTATCTTGGAGGTCGGGGGTCGAATCGAGCAAGGCCGAAATTGCAAGGGTTCTCGGGTGGCCATCTGTCGCATTGCTGCATTTGAATCGTATAAGTAGTTCCAGCCCGCGTTCAAAAGCGAATGGCCTCGTCTAGTAGACCGCCCGATTTCCGTCTTGTTCGGTGCCCTCCCCCCCCCCCCCCCCCCCCCCGGTTGTTCCTAAGCATTCTTCATCATGAGAATCAGCGCCCCCGCTCTGCTCTGCGCCTTTGCTAGCCTGGCCAGAGCTAATCCTCTCGACTGGCTCGGAATCGCATCCTGGGACGTGGAGGGGTTTGCCAAAGACAACCCAATCGGGAAGACCACAGGCGGCCAGGGTGGTCCGACTGTGACCGTCACGAGCGTCCCCGAGCTCCAGTCCGCCGTCGTCGGCAGCGATCCAAAGATCATCATCCTCAAGGGCGAGTTCGCTTTGCCAGCACGGCTCAGCATCGGCTCCAACAAGAGCCTCGTCGGCTACAAAGACCAGGCGCACATCACCGGAAAGGGCCTCAATGTCTATAATGCGACCAACGTTATCCTGCAGAACCTCAAGATCAGCTATATTCTGGACAATGACTGCATCACCATCCGCAACTCTACCAGGGTCTGGGTCGACCACAACGAGTTCTTGTCGGACATCTCGCAAGGTCCAGACCTCTACGTATGCATTCTTCCAGCAAAGCCAGTCTCGGGGACCTACAACTGACTCTGAGAAGGATGGCCAGGTCGACATCATCCGGGCTTCAGACTGGATCACCGTCTCCTGGAACTACTTCCACGAACACTGGAAGTCCTCCCTCGTCGGGAACGACGCCACATTCCGCGACCTCGACTTCGGCCACCTCCACGTCAGCTACCACCACAACTACTGGAGGAACATGGGCACGCGCGGCCCCGCCGGTCGCTTCGGCACGCAACACATCTACAGCAATCTGTACGAGGATTTCCTCTACCAGGCCATCCACTCCCGCTCCAATAACCAGGTTCTTGTTGAGGGCAACGTGTTCCGCGGGAAGACGCGTGAAGCTCTCAGCACGTATGGGCTCGTCATCCCGGACGATTCGCCCAACACCTGCGTCTGCGGTGACGAGGAACTGGACGGGTTCGCCAACCTCGGTTCTCGTAAGTCAAGTCCCGCTTCGTCTGTCCACATGAAGCCGCAAAGCTGAAAAAACAATAGCCAATGACTGGGGCAGTGCCGGTGTCAACATCACCCAAGGGGGTACATTCTTCAAGGCACCTTACGATTTCAAGCTTACGCCTCTACCACTTCTCGCCCCAATCGTCAAGCTCGGTGCTGGAGTTGGTCGTATTTAGATCGCCGTTATTAAAGATGTACATAAACCAACTTACTTGTCTCCTCAAAAAAACTGTGCCACGCAGGGCATAAACCATACAATGAGCTTTTTCGTCTCTTTTCTCTCTCTCTCGGTTCATTAACTCTCATATTCATGATACTGATTTTCTCATCACAAGTGACTATTCTAGGTCCTTGAAACCGTAGCTATAATGCGGCTGAGCGCTTTAGCCTGGCTTCGGGGAATACCGTTGCCTTGTTCCTAGGCTGCACTACTTGCGCACGCGCTTTTTGTAAGACCCGTGAGGCTACATTCAGCATACACGTGTATCTGAAATCGTCTGAAAAGCTTTGCATGAATACCATTGCTCAGTTGTATAAAAAAACTGTCAATGAATATCCATCAGACGAATCGCGCCGAAAGGCTGACTAGAGCCCAGTTTAAGTGATGCAACAACCCCAGTCATCATCGGGCGTAAACTGTCTTTGCGATTAGCACGGAACCAGTCGCATGGCCAGTGCAACTCTGTAAAATGATGAAAAAGAATTCTACAATTGTCCAATGCTGCTATGCAATGAGTTGAATTAGGGAATGTTTGATATGCCATGAGAACCAGCCAAGTTGGCGTTGTAACCAAGCAGCAATTCACAGAGTCCAGCTCGATTTCATGCTTCGAAAAAGGGAACGAGCCCGCATGCATGCCTTCAAAAACGCAACTTCTCCACATTGTTTAGCAAAAAGTTGAAACTCTCTTGACGGAAATCGTCATCCATGAGATCAGCGCTGTCGGCCCCCATGTGCAACAACTTGTTGCCGTCTCTCCACTTTGGCCATTTGATTAGGTCGGCTTTGGGGGTGCATTTCCCGCTGCCGCCGGAGCAGTCGTTTGGATCGAGGTTGTAGGCGAAGTTGAAGTAGTACGCCCGCGTCGCGGCCGCGGCGTAGTTGGGCTTGATGCCGAAGAAGACTTGGAGGAGGTCGGCCCCGTGGAAGGTGCCGAAAACAGGGGTGCCGTAGTCGTAGCTGGCCAAGTAGCTCCAGTTGTCGACCTCTGGCTGCACAACCTGGGAGATGTTGAAAACGGCCCTGCGAGTGAGAGTGAAGACGGCGTCGCCGAGGATGGCGGCGAGTCGCTTGAACTGGGGACGGACTTCGTTGAAGATTGAGGTCCCGAAAGGGGATCCCGCGGAGGGCAGCGGGCTGTATGTTGCTACCAAATTTGTGATTTGCTCGGGTGAGGCGTTGTTGAAGTAAAGAGTCGAGAGATAAGTTTCGATGTCATCTGTGCTGGTGATGTTCGGTTGGAAGAGGGCGAACAGCGTGCCCTCATCTTCCTGATCCCCCAGGATGAAGGGTATCTTGGGCAGCTTGCCCGAAGTCGCAAACACTTCGGCGCTTGAAGGAATGTTTTTACCGTCTGGTCGTGGTAGGTATGACAAGGCAACTGAGGTATAGCTCAGCAAATTTGGCACAGAGTCTGCCGCTTTTTTCATGTCCTGCAAGTATCGGGTCAGCAGCGTGCCCAAGTCAAGTGTGTTGAATACTACGTCTTACATCATACGAAAGGGCTCGAAGACACTTCAACCGATCCTTCGCCCCAGAGCAGCCTGCAGCAGACAGTACCTGCTCATAGACTTTGGTGGCTTTGGGACAATCCATAGGATCGGTAGGTACCGCCGATCCCGAGTTCATGATGGCGCCACGGAAGAGTGGCTTCCCGTTCCGTGTGATGTTGCCGTTGAACAGAGTGAGCTGGCTGAAGATCGAGATGGCCCCGGCAGATTCTCCCCAAAGTGTCACTTTGTCAGGGTCGCCGCTGGAGATTTCTAGGTGTCAGTGCTGTAAAACATGCCTAGGTAGATGACGAAAACAGTAGCGGGTGCTTTGTTTCATCCTGCCCAGCCAGCCCACTCGGTCCAGCCTCTTCTCATCACCATCAAGAGAGGTATCATTGACCTCAAAAGGTCCGGGATGACTTACCCAAAGCTGGCAATATTGTCTTGGACCCATTCCAAGCCCATTCTCTGGTCTAGAAGTCCTGCGTTGGAGCTTCCTTCATCCATCAGGTCCTTGCCCGGCATGAACCCGAACCCTCCGACACGATAGTTAACAGCCACGAAGATGAAAGGCTTGCCTATCTCCATGCCTTCAGCGACGAGGCCAACGCCATTATACATGGACGTGCTCCCCAACTCGAACCCGCCGCCAAATATCCAGTACATCACCGGGAGCTTGTCCCCTTCTTTTGTCCCGGCCGGCCGCTGGACGTTTATCGTCAAGCAGTCCTCTTGTCCGACAGCCAGGTTCTGGATTATGGGGAGGCCGAGTACTGTGTTGAGGAGGTCTGGAGGAATCAAAGGCGAGCCGAAATCAGGAGGTATGACGAATTGCGGGCATGACTCCGGTTGATCGTTGGTAGCGTCAAAGTCCCCGAGGGGTTCCGTAAGGCGTACTGGAGGCTTAAATCTCAAATCTCCAATGGGAGGCTTTGCATATGGGATTCCCATAAATGATTCAACCTCGCCGGCATGAAGCCCGAGGAAGCCTTTAGTGGTGCCCTTCAGGTTGGCCGGGGGCGACTTGATGGTTACCAGAGGAGTGCCGCCGTCTCTCTTCCATGGCGCACCGCATGCCAGTGTAAACAAAGAGACTAAAGTAAGTGTCGAGGAAAGCATCATCGGAGAGGCTGT